AGAAATGAGAAAATAACTCTTTCCAGCATGCATGGCCAACAGAACCCAGGTTCCTTGGCCGTTTGGACTAAGGTGCTTGTATTAATGTCTCTTCAGGGGCCATGGACCTTCTGTCTGGGACTGGGGTTTATCTTGACAGCTTCTTTGGTTCTATTGGTTCTGTTCTCTAGAGAATACCAGCTAATATGGACTTCTGCCAAAACCAAAGAATATAATTCATAAAGGAACATAACACCCTCTTTCAGGTCAGGAACAAACACAAAAGATGTCTTCTGGCACAATGATCTAGCCTCCTTCCTCTTTAACATTGTATTGGCATTTGAGCCAGCCCATCGTGAGTCAAGAAAAAAAAGAAAACCAAGTGATAATGTAAAATAGGGGAACCGTTATATTACAGGAAAGAGTGCAGTACCTTCTTCAAAGATAATTAAACATGGAATCACTGTGTGTTCCACCAGGCCCCAAGGGAACTAAAACAGGAACACAGTGACATCAGTCTCCAGCTCCAAAGGGTAGTTACTTAGCTGTGTGTTGCTGGCAGGTGAAGGATGGGCAGGGCAGTGTCAGATACACTGGGATGCTATCCTGCCTTGGAATGAAAGGAAGAATTTGTATATGCTACAATGTGATATAAGCCACATGCAGAAAGACAGATACTGTGTGTGTGTGTGTGTGTGTGTGTGTGTGTGTGTGTGTGTGTTAGTCATTTTGTTGTTAATGAAATATCTGACAAATGTAATTTAAAGGGAAAGGTTTTATTTGGACTCATGGTATCAGAGGGTTCAGTCCATTGTGATAGGCTGGTCATGGTGGAATATCGCTATTCCATCATGGCAGTCAGGAACATAGGAGAAGGCACTGGAAACCATAAGAAAACCTCAAAGTCACAAGCCATTAAGAAACTGTTTCTCCATGTAGACCCCACCTCCCAAAATTACTACAAACTCCTATATACCACCACCACCACCACCACCACCTAAGAACCAAGTATTCACCATGTGATCCTGTGGGAAACATTTTATATTTAAACCATAACACTGTAAGACTCTATGTAGGTGAAGTAGCCAGAGCAGTCAAATTCCTACACTCAGAAAGCAACCTTATGCACACCCACAAATGCTGGAGAGGAGGTGAAGTGAGGGGCCCTTTACACACTGAACTCTTCCATATAAGGCTAGTGTGGCCAGTGGAGAGTCCTAAAAATAGTGTGGAGTCAAAAAAAAAAAAAAAAAAAGAAAGAAAGAAAAAAGAAACTTTCACATGACCCAGTTGCACCATTCCTGAATTTACATCAACGTGTCACAAAGACCCTTGCACATTAATGTTGACTGTGGCAATAACTACACACAATGACCAAGGTATACAACCAGCTAGAATGTTTATCAATGGATAGATTGATAAGAAAATGCTATATAAATACACAAAGTCTTTTTCTGAAAATACCCCTTACCTTCAGAAACTGAACTTGGGCAGACCTTGCCTGCTGTCTTGAGACCCTTTAAAACTATCATCAATCAACACTGTAACCAGCCTTGCATGCCTGGATTTCCTGTGTCGTGGCTTTTACCACCTAATCTAAATACATAGCTTTAATCTTAAACCATGTGCTCTTCCATAGCCCTGACCTAGAACAATGTATGTGTGTGTTGTGGTAATCATTTGCTGAAAACAGCCAGTGGGTTAAATGAGTCCTTAAACAAAGAAAACATGCACCCTACATGTTAAAACAACATGTGGATGCAGGCTGATAACCTCTGTGTGTGGTTTTCAGTGCTCTTCTGAGTCAATCGAGTAACTTCTTCCCTTGCAAAGTTCTGTTAAAGATTTCTGTAGAAAAGAATGCCACATCCCTTTCCTATACTGTATTTTCCATTTTGTTCAATAAATATAGAACAGAGCCATTTGCTAGGGAGAGACAACGGGGTATGATAACGGACAAACTAGATAGACAACAGGCTGGCCATGGATCACAAACTGCAGGTAGAAAGAAGACATGAGAGAGCCGTGGAGAATCCAAATTTGGGTTCACTCTTGGTCAACCTATTCCAAAAGGAAGACTCTCTTTATTCGTGTTTGGTACTAATGCAGAGTTGTTTGTGCTATAACGGGGAACAGGGCTGTGGGGAGATGGCTTAGTAAGTGGAGTGCCTGCTTCACAAATGTAAGGGCCCCACTTCCTGATACCTATGTAAAAGCCTGGTGTGGTGGTGCATGTCTGTAACTCTTGTGATGAAGGGACAGGAGTCATGGGTGAAGGCAAGGACAGGAATATCTCTGGGGCTCAAAGTTCAATCTATTTAATTAGTTCCCAGATCAGTGAGAGACCCTGGGTGGTAGTTTTAATGACAATGGCCCCCATAGGCTCCTATGCTTGAATACTTAGCCCAAAAATGGTGGAACTATTTGGGAAGGATTAAGAGGTGTGGCCTTGTTAGAGAAGGTGTGTCACTGGGGGTGGGCTCTGGGGTTTCAAAAGCATATAGCTTTCTCCTTTAGCTCTCTCTGTCTTTTAGCTCTCATCTGTGTCTCAAAATGTAAGCTCTCAGCCACTGCTTCAGTTTCATGTGTCCTCCTGTTGGCATGCTCCCCACTATGATAGCCATGGCCTCTAACCCTCTGAACTGTAAGCTTCAAATAAACTTTTCTTTAAGTTGCCTTGATTGGGGTATATTATCACAGCAATAAAAAAGTAACTAAGACACTTTATGTAAAACAAACAAACAAAAAACATGGTGAAAATAGACCAAATTAGACACGAAACATTGATCACTGGCCTCCACACCCACATGTGTGTATGCACACACACATACTAAACACACATGCATATATGTATATAAAATAACAGAATTATGTCTTTGGCAAGGAGATGTATAGAACTGGTGATGGTTATAGCAAACAAAATAAAGCAGAAACAGAAAGATAAATACTGAACGTATTCTCTCAGAGTGGAATCTAGACATGATTTACATACATATGACATGACATACATATGACATGCAAGTTGACTGTCACAGAAGGGGACTGTCTGTGGGGAGGTAGCAGTCTAGAGGGTGAGGGATATGGAGGGGAATGGGGCAAAAGAAAAACAAACAGTACATATTTGCTTTCCAGCAGAATCTCAGTTTAGCAATGTAATATACAAGACACAAAAACAGAGGAAGGCAATTTGGGGGATGAAGGAATCAGAAGTTGGTGAGAGGGTGAACACAAGTAAAGTGGTTGCATTTGAAAAGGTCATGAAGAAACCCATCACTGTGTATGGTAAATAAAATTAAATTTAGGAATTTAAATTTAAAATGAGGAAAGATGGGTTTTTGTCAGGACTTGGTGACGACATGGCATGGGGAGTTGCTGTCTAATTGGGACAGAGTTGGTTGTGATGGAAATGTTCCTAAAGGTGGTGGTAGCTATGCAACAATGAAGATGCCCTTGATCCCACAGAGATGGACACCTAGAAATTGTTACGTGTTAATTTTCTTTTTGTTTACATGAGACAGCTTCTCACACTGTTTGGACACAAGCCATCTTTGTTACTCAACTTCCCAAGTGCCAGGATTACAGACATGAGCCACCACACTCAGCTTTAAATGGGAAATTTTATGTCATATATATTTATATGACACTTGGTTTGTAGAAGCCATGTTTCCCAAGAAAAGCCTTCATCGATAACTGCTAGGACATACTTCATCCTGGAGGCAAGACTCTGCTAAGTAGAGTTGATTTGCTCCCTAGGGCTTGTGAGTCAGAGTCTTTCAGAGATAATATGCAAAAAATGACATACAACTTTTGATGGGGAATTACTGTGTATGTTTATCTTATTGATTGTTAAATAAAATACTGTTTGGCCAATGAAACGGCAAGTTAGGCAAGACTAGGAGTCAAAGAGGATTCTGGGAAATGTAGTAGAGAAGTGCTGATCCAGACATAGCAAGTGACATAGCAAGTGACATAGAAAGTGACATAGCAAGGAGACTCATATTTAAGCGAAGGAGAAACAGTAAGGGCCCTCTTTTCCCCTCCGCTCCTGCTCCAGCGACACCAATTGGAGGGACACCAATAAGGCATCCGATAAGATATAAGTCTTATAAAGTATATAGATTTAAGATAATTAAGACTGAGCTAACAGATGAGAATCCTAGTCATTGGCCAAGCACCTTTGAACCTAATACAAGTTTCTGTGTATTCATTTGGGCCTAACTCGGGCGGGCGGCTGGCGTAAAGTGCACACGTGACAGTGGGACTCAGCAGCTTTTGGCGGAAAGATTTATTGTAACAAACTTTCTGGGAAAGGGTAACCCATTTTCATGAGGATGTCAGAGAGTGTTGTGATATACGAAAATATGACTGATAGGCCTCTTTCCATGCTGTCCTTGCCCATCCGTCTCACCTCCTACAGGCCTTTGGTGTTACACCTGGCTCTCATCACCAGCCTCATCTCCATCCCTTTCTGTCCACCGTCTCCTCTCCCCATCCCAACACCACTTCTTTCCTTCACTCAGGTGGTTTCCAGGCAGTGGGAAGTAATTTTCAATTTTTTTTCCTCGTTGATTGATGCACATTAGAAAAAAATAGGTGAGTGTGATTCTGCGATCTGCCAAACTTCAGGTCAGTTTGCAGCCCTTCCTTTCCTGCATGGTTGTTAAAAAGGCCCTGCTCTGGCCTGTGGCCCAGAGTAGAAAAAGCCCCCGCCAATTGCCTGTCCAGTGATTAGACTTCTCCAAATTGTGCCCAAAACTAAAAGTCATTGCCAACTAGATGAATCAACTAGTTGAATCAATATCTTGCATTTAACACAGACTGCATTTTAATAAACAGAGACTCCCTGGCTTTCACTCCTGCCCTGCCTGGATGCTGATGGGGTTCCTGGAAGGAAATGTAGAGGCCCTCAGTGGTGTGCCAACTTCAAACATGGAGGTGATTAGAATTGTCATGGCTCAGTTTTCTCCCAAGTGAATTCCGATACTGCTCTTTTTTTTAAAAAAATGCTTTTATTTCTATTTTTAAATGAGACATATTGTTGAGCGCATGCATAAAATGCATATTCCTTCCTTTATCCCTTGATGCTCACACAGTGTGGGTGGAGAAGGCCTACTGAAGCAAGGCACAGGCTCTGGGGCACCTCATCAAGGGAGGTTAATAGTCGTCATAGTTGACACTGGCTCCATGCCTGAAGCTTTCTGGGCTGCGGGGACCGATGGCTGCATCTTCATCATAGTGACGCTGATAGTAGTCACCGTAGTAGTCATGTCCATTTCGATTTCTGTTTAGCCAATAGTTGACATCATCTTCAAATTTCTGGAAGATGAAGAATGGATTTAAACACACATACTCCCCTAAAAACACAGGGAAAGCATGACTTTTTTCTAAGTGGCTTTTCTTCAGTGATTGACAATTAATGTTATAACAGCTTCTTGCTAATTCAGCCTTGGGATACCAGAGTGAGCCACCCCCACAAAGGAATATATGCCCATAGTCTATATTATGGATTACATGTCAATCCATAATAACAAAATAATTTATATTACTATAATCTATAATTTCCACCATGCCAGTTCTTTTTTAATCTTATTTATTTTATTTTATTTGCACTCGTGTTTTGCCTGCTTATATGTCTGTGTGAGGGTGTCGGCTCTTGGAATTACAGACAGTTGTTAGCTGCCATGTGCGTGCTGGGAATTGAACCCAGATCCTTTGGAACAACTATCAGTGCACTTAATGGCTGAGCCATTCTTAATACACCCTACACCTGAGTATTTTTCTCTTTATAAGGTAAGTAAAATGTGTGTCTGTCATATGCAAGTAACAACTTGACTGGCCCCGAGGCATCATCCACATGACTATGGCAGATGCCTTCCTATCCTCCTGGCCTATTCCTGTGCCTGGCCCACCACATGAATTAAATCAACATCGGGCATCTTACAGCTCTGGGGCAGGGCATCTGGGGACACCCCAGGTTTGTGTGTGCACACCTGGTTTATGTGTGCACAGGCACAAGTGTTCACTGTGTAAGGTTGTGAAATGGGCTGTGGGTGTCAGGCCTTGTGCAGGCACCAGAGAAGGCCCAAAGCCAGATAAAGAGTCCTAGCTTACAAGAAACCTGCAGTCTATTGGCAAGAATTATGAAAGGAGACAGATACTGTTAATAAAAACAGAAAGGAAAAGAAAAGGGCCAAGGATTAGTAAGACCCCCTCCAGCAACTGTTCTTTGCTGTGAATTGCCTTCTCACAGGGGAGAAGAATTTTCTGAAGTGATTCGGAAAGTGCAAGATGGATTGTGATGACAACTTGCACGTGTTGATCTAGTGTGAGGATGTGACATTGAGGACATAACAAAGACAGATTGGGAATGTGAGCAGGCTGAGCAGCCTGGGCTGCAGGCTGTGGGTGTGAGACCCCGTACCAGAACACCACTGAGACTGGAAAAAATGCAGATTCACTGGCAACATGCCATCCTTCTGGACTGAATTTTCTAGTGGTTAGGTCTAAGGAATCTATTTTCATTTTACTGGGATGGCCTGGGGACCACTAAATACGGGTGAACCCCAGCTTACGCTTTTTTGTCTTTGTGTTGGGATAATGTGAAGGCAATGTGCACTCAGTGGGAACCACTGTGGATCCGGATCCTTTCCAAGGCCAGTGCTGTGTGGGATGAGGCTCTCCAGGGATGCTGCAGTGAGTCGGGGCCCCTGACAATGTGTCTGATGTAGGAGGGTGGTAAGGTAGGTGTCCTGGAGACATTTTAGTTTGTAGTGATTCTAACTTACCATAGACCTTGGGCCATCTGTCCTGAGGACCCTGTGAGGCTGGAAACCCTAGGCTAGGTCACACACTGGGGCTCTGGGTCCAAATGACCACCCACTTCGGGTTAGCGGCAGGTCCTTCCTGTGTACCCCTTACCCTGAGCCACTGGTTCTGATTCCTCATCTGTTTGTTGCCCAAGATCCTCATCTCAGAGTCACCCCAAAAACTCAGCCTCAAGGAGGAGGTAGGCTTTTTCACCTCCCTGTATCTTTAACCTAGACTTTTTTTCATAATGCTACATTTTGGGGGTCAGAGTAAAATAATCCTACTTCCTGTGTTTTCTCATTTAATAAGGTTTGATAATTTTTGCTTCAAATGTGTATTTTAAATCTGCTTTAAGAATTTTCTATGAGTGTAAAAATAAGACAGGTTCAGATTTGAATATTCAAGTTTGAATATGAGCCAGTTTCTTGTGGTCTTTTTATGCAAACTTAATCATCACAGCCTTCCTTAATCTTCACCTTTTATTGGTTTTGTTACCAAACATTACATTTACCCATACTAAAATTTTTAACTATTTAACGGTGGGCATCAAAGAGAGAAAACTACTAAAAGACGATGACATTTTCATCTACCAATTAAATAAATATATGCACTTAAATATTCTAAACACAAGACGCTGCCGATGTCTCTAGAACGTGGGTACTCCTCCTTAGGACTTTGGGGGCTGTGTAACTTGACTACCATAAGTACCCTTCATTATGAGTTTACCTGTTTCCCAGAAATTCCACGAGGCAGAACAGGGACCCAAGAAAGGAGCAACTGACACATAGCATTGTCCCTTGAGTCGGGGAAAATGTTAATAAAGTCATTTGTTTAAGTACTTTGAGTCATGCCTGACACAGAGTTTGGCTTAAGTAGATAACTACTTGCATAGCAAAAGAAGACTTATTTTTGAGCAGCAAAAATAGAGACATTTAGGGACTGACAGATATGTGTAGAACCTGGGAATGGGGGGGGAAGGGATGATGCAGCCACATGCTTCACTTCATACTGCATTAGAAAGGAAACCAACACCCTCTGTGAGTCACATGTCTGTTTAAGAAAACATGTTCAGCTATCCGGCTGCTGATGCTCCGAGAGGCAGTCTAAGTAGTCTACTTGGACTTGAACTCCTTAGCCACTCTGTGGATAGTCTCCAGCGAATAGAACCTAGAGTGCCTGTCCTGCTGCCCTCTTACCTGATGTACCTGTAGCCCAGGTGATGATATGTGACTTTAAAAAGTCCCCTATGTTAACTTGTCAACATTGCCCACTGGCGTTGCCCCACCCAAGAGAGCAGCAAAGTAGCTTTACTGACAAGTGCATTGATGACATTTCTCCTAAACATCTGCCAGAACCACCTCTCTTTCAAAGGCATCTTAAGTCTCTTTTCATGATCTTCCCGACTCCATGTACCCATCTTATTTCTTCAGCCCTTTCTAGACAAAGATGACCTCGGCTAAGTGAGTTGTTTTGAAGATGCCCAGGCGAAACTGGATAAGAGGGCTGGAGGCATTTCTAGGAAAATGAGATTCTCCAGGAATCTGAGATGCAGCTATTTGGCTCACAGATTCTCTGGATTCCTCCTCCCCTATGGCTGGCTAGCATGCAGCCAGAGTGGGTTCAGAAATTCAGAATAAAAAGTACTGTGACTTGCCTATGGTTTGTGCACTTCTAGAATTCATGGCTAGAAGCTTGGTCCCCAGTGTGGCAGTGCTGGAGAGCTGAGACCTTTAGGAGATGAGGTCCTGGTGCAAAGTAATTAGGTCAAGTGGGCTTTACCTTTTGAGAGGACTAAGGCTGTGGCCTCTCAGTGGGTGAGTTCTCCCAAGAACTGGCAATTGTAAAGCAAAGTCAGTGGGTATCCTGGTGCACATCTATACCATCAGCATTTGGGAGTTCAAGGTCTGTCTTGCCTACGTAGTGAGTTTGAGGCCAAGCTAGGCTAGATGAGACCCAGTCTTAATAAACAAGCAAATAAAATACAGACAAATGAATAAAGAACATTTAGGCTTCCTTTTTGCTTTATATATGACGGTTTCTTAACACATACTCCTGCTATTGTGACACCATTTGCCATGTTGTTCTCACTAGAGTCACTATACAGTGACTTCATATTCTTAGACCTTCAGAACCACAAGCTGCAAGTAAACTCTTAAAAGTTTTGATAGAGCAACAGGAAAACAAACTAAAATAAGAATCCCAGGTCCTCTTCCCCAGGCCAGGCCTCTGTCCCCACGGCCTGCCCTGTAGGGTCCAAGGCCCCCCAGCAGGAAAGTTTACTTACCGCCTCATCAAAACCCATGTACAGGAACTGCTGATACCACTGTTGTACCTCAGGCCGTGTGCGATCCCACAGCTGTCGCTTGGCACGCTTCAGGCCACCCAGGAATTCCTTTGCTGTGTGCTCAGCCATAGCCACAGCCACATTAGTCTTGGCTGGTACAGGTTCTGAAAAGTTGAGTTCCCAAAAGATGAAGAATGATTTCTTTTTTGAAAACATATTTTTCTCTTTACCATTGGATTTTTTTTCCTCCTGTGTTTTATCGTCATGTGTGTCTGTGCACCTTGTGCATGCAGTACCAGCAAAGGCCAGAAGAAGGTGTCAGACCCTGTGAACCAGAGTTTAGACAGTTGGGAACCACCTCGTGGGTGGTAGGAATCAAACTCTGACCCTTTAGAACAGCAACCAGAGCTCTTAACTACTGAGACTTTCTCCAGCCCCAAGCTATTGTTAGAATTTTAATGTGATTTAACTACTTCTGTATTTTGAACTGACACCTAGCAATTGTACATATTTATGCTATACATACGCAAGGATCAAACAGGACTAATTGGCATTTTCCTTGCCTTAAATGTTTATCATTTCTCCATGCTGGGAAACTTTAAACTCTTTTCTGGTTCATAAAATGTGCAGTGGATCGCTCTGAGCTGCAGCCACCCTGCCGTGATACAGCACATTATAGAACTTACTACCCTGTGCCTGCTTGTTAGCCAACATCCCCAATTCACTACCTCTTCAGGCTCCACTGTGAGCTATAAGAGAGAAGCAGAAGTGATTAATGATCACATGGGAAACGTGGCTCATATTTTCTAATCTCTGTGACACACAATTTTATACGACATGAAAGGGTGTTCACTAGACAGCACAATGGATCCATTTGACCTGATAACAATGGACTGAGAGCTCACATTTTTTGATTTCCAAACATTCTTCTTCTCTCTCCTTGTTGCTGTCTCCCACCTAAGTTGGGAACATTTTTTTTTTCAGCAGAAGTTAGTCATAGAAAAGATTCCCCAGTGGGAATGCCTTTTCCTAATTGCTGCCTGGATTTATCTGGTAGAATGCGACACCACATACCTACAGAACAAATCCTTCAGATCTGCAAGCCTTTTAAAGCGCAAACACTTTCTGATATTCCCAGCACAAGACCTCCATGGACCCATTTGTCTCTGCTCATCCACTCCTGGCAGTCAGGAGTGAACACATCCTTTACCCACTTGAGGCTGACTTACCTTCTCGTTTCTGGAGCATCTGCTTGAGTTTGTTTCCACTTATGCCACCTACACAAACAAACCAGAAAGCAGTTTCAGAGCCCATCATTCCTGGAGTTATTATACTTTGCTGATTGCAAAAATCCGAGTTGGAAATAAGAACCACGGACCTCTGTGCTGATTTAACAGATCTGCAGTAAAGTATCTAATTGGTTTTTGGGTACTTGCCCCACAAGAAAAACAATGCACGGTGTCTGGGGCTAATACTCATGATAGTGACCATGGATGAGAAGGGCAATGCTGCCTGAGCTGCTACTTTTGAAGATAGCATTGTAATTTTAGTCCTGAAGCCATACTGTGAGAGGAGCTACTTATCACAGACATCTCCCAGGAAACATTGTCTTCATGGTGTAATAGGTCCTATACTGCCCCTGAATTCATAATCCCCTGGACTCAGAGTGAGTTCTGCATAAATTCCATGATGCAGATACAGAAAGGCTGGGAAGCCCCATGAGACAGAGACAGGTAGAGATGAGGCTTATATGGCAAGCTTAGGAACATGCCACTCTTGGGTCTCAACATAGATTCACAGTTTTGTAACTTGCTCTGATTGTCCTCCATTCAAGCTTTATCAGAATAGGTGCATTGCTGTCAAATATATTTAGTTTTAAAAGAAAAAAAAAACTGATCAGCCTGATAAGTTGGTAGGAAAAAGCATATTTAGCTTGAGGGAACACATCCTCCATTTACTGAGCTGGTCCCTAAGAGTTACACACAAGCTTGGTCTCATGAAGGGTGGACCCAAAGTCTCTGGGGAAAACACCCTAGAGACTTAAGTAGAAAACAGAGCATCTACAGGGGGTCTGGAACTGCCACAGAGACTCATAATGAAGAAAGGCACATCAGGGTAGTTGTGCTGTCTTCCCAGCAGGGTTCTTAGCCCCTCAGCCTAGGGTTTCTGGAAAAGGATCATCTTGTACTTACATCTGCAAAAGTGACCCAAATAAGAATAAGAACTTGCTTTGAGTATACACCCACAAGTGGTATAACTAGGTCATTTCTATTTTTCCGAGAAACTTCCACGCTGATTTCCAGAGCTGATGTACAGTTTACACTCCCACAAGCAGAGAATAAAGGTTCCTGCTTCCTTACATACTGTCCAGCATGTGTTGTCACTTGTGCTCTTGATGACAGCCATTCTCACTGGGGGGAGATGGAATGACTTCAGTCTTAATTGGTAGTTCCCTCAGGGATAAAGATGTGGAACATTTTTTTTAAAAGTTCAGCAAGATACTTGCACACTCAGTTTATTGCTACAAGACTCACAATAGCTAAGAATTGGAACCAGCCTAGATATCCATTCACAAATAGATGGATAGAGAAGCTGGTATAGAGACACAATGAAATTCCATACAACCATAAAGAAAAATTAAATCATGTCATTTTCAGAAAAAAAAGTCATTATGTTAAGTGAGGTAACCCAGACTGAGTGTTTTAGTTTGATTCCTTTTGCAATGATAAAACACTATATCCAAAAGAAATTTAGGGAGAAAAAGGTTTATTTGCCTTACACTTCAGGGTCACAGTTCATCACTAAGGGAAACCAGTGCAGACACTCAGGGAAAGAACCTGAAGGCAGGAACCATGGAGGAACACTGCTGGCTCACTCTCTGGAATGCTCACGCAGGCTTATGCTCAGCTAGCTTTCTTATACAGCCTGAAACCATCTGCCTAGGAAACGTCACTGCTCAGGATGGACTGGGCCCTCTTATATTGATTAATAATCAAGATAATACATTATAATACACCTGTATTATAATACAGACATGACCACGGAGCAAGCTGATAAAGACAATTGAGATTATTTTTTTAGTGATTCTGGGCTGTGCCACACTGACAGTTAATGATCACCAAGACACTGAAAGGACAAACACCACACTCTTTCTCATGCAGATCCCAGATTCTAATTTATATGTGTGTGTTTATACATGTCTCTATACAGGTTGGGTGTAAGCCATAAAACTAGAAAGGGGACCACGAGAGGGACAAAATACCTACCATGACCATGGCAACTTTGAAAAGAAATCGCTTAGTGGAGCGTACAGTTTCAGAGAGTGAGTCTATGACCATCATGGTAGGGAGCATGGAAACAGGCAGGGAGGAATGGCACTGGAGCAGTAGTTGAGAGCTTACATCTAATGTACAAGCAAGCGGCAGAGGAGTGGGGAGAGATGGGTGAAGAGAGGGAGGGAGGGAGGGAGGGAGGGAGGGGAGAGGGAGAGAGAGAGGAAGAGAGCTAACTGGGAATAACATGGGCTTCTGAAACCTCAAAGCCCACCCTCAGAATCCATCTCCTCCAAAAGGGTCACACCCCTTGATCCTTCCCAAACACTCCCACCAACTGGAGACCAGGTATTCAAATATGTGAGCCTATGGGGGTCATTCTCATCCAAACCACCACAGCAATAGAAGAGATATCTTGTGATGTGGAAGTAGGAAGGGGTTGACTGCAGAAAGGAAGGATGGGGTAGGAGTGGGGAAAGAGCAGAGGAAGAGGATCAAAGTAGGTAAGAAATGGACATAAAGAAACCCATTACTCCACATGATTATAATACTAACAAAGAAAAAGAACACAAAGAATGCCCATTTTGGCTCTGAGTGCAGCTCAGTGAACACCCATTCAGCATGATGAGACCTGGGACCACTCCTCAGCACTGCAAACAACTAAAACTCTGTACTGTGTCAAGAGCGCATTACTAAGGCTGGAGAAACAACGTTTTTTTAGTAAGAACTCTTGCATAAATGATTTACTACACTATCGAGGAGGGAAAAAAAGAGTCAATATTCAAAGCCAAGAGTCAGCATCTGGGGGTTCTACTGGGGTGTGCATGTGATCGTGTTTGTGGTTGTCTGTGTGTGGTTTTGTGTGTGTGATTGTGTGTGTGGTTGTATGTGTCATTGTGTGTGTGGTTGTGTGAGTGTGTGTTAGTGCACCTAGTGTTCGCCATGTTTCTGGGTCTGTCCACATCACTCACACAATGCACAATCCATAGAGAGCCTCACCTCCTGGCCTGCTATAGCATGGATATGAGTGCTGCCTGCTGCCTGCTGCCTGCTGCCTGCTGCCTGCTGCCTGCTGCCTGCTGCCTGCTGCCTGCTGCCTGCTGCCTGCTGCCTGCTGCCTGCTGCCTGCTGCCTGCTGCCTGCTGCCTGCTGCCTGCTGCCTGCTGCCTGCTGCCTGCTGCCTGCTGCCTGCTGCCTGCTGCCTGCTGCCTGCTGCCTGCCAGTATAGCAGTGCCATCTAGAGCAGTGCTTCTCAACCTTCCTAAAGCTGAAACCCTTTAATACAGTTCTTCATGCTGTGGTGACCCCCCAACCATAAAATTATTTTGTTGCTACTTTGTAACTGCAATTTTGCTTCTGTTAGGAATCATAATGTAAATATCTGATATGCAGGATATCTGATATGGGACCCCCAGTGGGGTCATGCCACAGGTTGAGTGCCTGGCCTATGTTCTGGGATGCGGTAGGGAAAATGTTAGAACTTACTCAAGTGCCTGGCTAGCAATCTTATGGGTTTAGTGACAACACATTCTGGGCTCTCCTACGACAGTCTTGGTTTACAATACCTCTTTTCATTCTCAGAAGTGTCCCAGCTTCGAGGATAATGTACACCTATCCTAATTTTAGAGAGTGATATACAGAAACACTTTGAGAAGAATCTGTAGGGACCACCTAAGGGATGAGAGATATCTTTTAGGATAGCATGTTGTCCTAACATCTGGCTCAAGGGAGCTGGTATATACTGGCCAGGCAAGCTAAGGGGTTAGTGTAGCAGGCATCAGAAAGAGAGCTGCTTCTGAGGTCTGCATGAAGGTTGCCTATGGTGATGTGGCCACTTTAAAACAACAGCAGTGTCCAGTGCAGCATCTACCAATAAATAACTGTCCCACCTCTGCTTTTCACTGTTCTGATCAGGGAATGTCTCTGAAGTTGGAGGTCACTTTGAACCCAGAGAAAGGAAACTCTCTGCTTCCTGCTTGTGGTTGGAGATGTTCATTCTCAGCTGTTCTTCAGCCATATCTTCAGAGCACCAAGATGGCCTCTAGCCCTCTAGAACTGTAAGCTCTGGATGTTTTATTTTATACATTACCTTGCTCGTGTTTTATCACCGCAATAGAAAAGCAACTAAGATAGTGTGTAATAGTTCCAATGCCTTGGCCGCTGTGTGAAGATGGAGCAAATGGCCCCAGGAGATTCCCCATTTAGAATCACTTGAGGCATCTGAACATAAAGTGGCACATATGAGAACTGGCCAGGATACTGGAGAGATGATGATCTAAACTGATAAGGTGGGACCGATGCTAAATGCTGTACTTCCCTCTCAACCTGAAAAGTCAATGAAGAAATCTATGGCATTATTTGCCGAGGCAGATAGGTACATTCTTGGCTCTACTATTAGCATTCATGAATATCTTAACATTTATCAGTCTCTAACAAGTCACAGGGCAGCACACGGAGAATTAAGCACCACCCTCCATCTGTTTGCCTTCTGTAGAAGTGCTTCACAATTAATGAATGAAATGTGGTCTGATGCTGAAAGAGTCATGAGGTTTGGGCTGATAGTGCAAGCCTGCAATTTCTTGCAAGGGTGAGTCATTACTGCTCCAGGAACGAAAGCTCCACCAAGCCACATCTCTGCCGTGCAAATGGAGAGGTCTGGAGAGGTCCCGTGCCATGAATTATGAATGCTGTGGTTACACCAAGCCTTGTACCCTCAGCTATATATTAATACATATAATTGGATACCACACTGACTCAGCTTGAGGGAAGGAGCAAGGAACAAAAGAAGAGAGCTGTGTCTCCTTTGCTACAGCTTCCCTAGCTGTCATTTCCAGACTGTGATGAAAAGCAGTCACACATGTATCAAATCTGGCTACCAGAATTAGAATGCACAGGGTACTGGACACATTCAGAGTCTCATGATATCAAAGGTGAAAAGTCCTAACAAGCGGATCAAGAGTGGGCTATGGTCATCCTTTTTATGAAATGTGCTTAGATGTCATAGAGTCCTGTCCGGGGACTGGAGAGATGGTTCCTTTGTTAAGAGCACTAGTTGCTCTTCCAGGGGGCCCTGGTTTGATTTCCACATCTACATGGCAACTTGAAACCTTCTGTCACTACAGTACAGGGGTTACAGCACCTCCTTCTGACCTCTGCAGGCACCGCAGACATGAGGCACACAGACATACACCCATATGCATAAAATAAAGAAAGGGGTGTCATCTTTGAGATTCAATGTAAACTCAGCTCTCACTGTAAAAAGTTCACATTTCAGTTCAAGGATTCTGATACTGTATCTGTTCCCATCACTCACTTCTTGGCATTAACTCAGTAAAATATGAGTGCTGAAAACGAATGGCCTATAGACCGTGTTCACAGGAGCGTAGTGCTGACATTTGCAACAGTAATCCTTTACTTAGAACAAGCTCCCCTTTATTCTTGTGGTCCCTCCTACTGTATCCTACCTCCCGTCACCCTGGAGTTTGGTTTACCACGCCTGCTCTGAGAAGGCAAAAAATGAAGAGGCAGAAAAATCGAGTGTGTCTTCATTTACATTTGGCAATGCCCAGTGATGTCCCTTCGTACTGGGACAAAGGTGCTGGTCAAATAATTTAGAGTCTCCCAGCTGCTGTTCTCTTAGCAGTCACGATGCTGCCTCCCAGAATTGGAACCCTCAAAGGCGCTCCTATGCCGGGGTCTGCACTTGTGACCCTTACAAAAAGATACCTTTCCAGTTTCAGAGGGCAGTCTGTGGAGTTCTGGATAGAGAAGCTTTTACATCCACCAAAGCGATTCCTTTTGGGTGCGCTGAGAATGTGCTTTTAATGGGGGAAAAAAAAAACTGGAGGTTTCAGACGGTTCAGGTATTTGTCTAAAAGTAGTAAAGACTGGCGCCTGCCCTATCTAAAACTCGAGGCCCAAGCTTGGTTTTGCAGCCTGGAATATCATCAGCTCCGCTGCCCCAGGCTGCCTGGAGGGGAACTGGGGAAAGATCTGCTTTAAGCCTCCACCATCCTTGAGTTAGCACTTCTTGTAGGTCCCTGGGATCCCTATTCCATTTGACCAAGGTTGCCGCTCAGTCTACAATGCTCCCTTCGAATGTGATACCCTCACTGCCTGTCCAAGTGCACCATTTAGGGCTCATGTGAGTGCAAAATCCTAGACCTGCTTCCTCTATGTCTTCCAGGTCTAGACTAGGCAAAGACAGGCAAGCCCCATCCGATTTCCCCTTCCCCAGCACCCACAGCACTTTCCTCCAGGCATTTGCCACTCACCTGGACCCAGGCACAGCAAAAGGAGCAGCACCAGTCCGGTCAGGGCCAGGAGCGAAGGCCGAGCAGACGAGGTGGCCATGGCGCCAGGGCTCTGCAGAGTGGCTGGGGGGCGACTGGAGCGGGAGACCCGGGCTCAGCGGAGCAGGCGCCCGAGGGGAGAGCTCCTGGTGTCCTTGCCAGGGGCGGGACCCACTGAGTGGGCAACAAGCCAGCGGGCTGCCCGCCAACCTGCAGCTCAACGCCACCGAGGCACACTGTCCTGCAGGTCTGTGGCAAAACGCTGGGAGCAAGGAGCCGCGTGGCCAAAGGGGCAAGGGAAAGCCAGATGCCACGCACAGACCTACAAGGCTGCAGACAAGGAATGCTGGCTCCCCCCACCTCCCCGCCCCACCAAACGGTTCCTCTCAGGCAGCAAAACCCTCCCTTAGCATCCCAGCCCCTTGGCTCCAGGCTTAGGCCTTGCCTTACAAAGTAGTCTTTGGAATGTCTTTAGTTCCTGAGCTGTAGTTAGAGTTGGCTCCCGCAGAGCCTCGTTTTATGATATTTTGAAAAAAATCTGGGTTCTGAGCTGCAGTCCAGGAAAACATCTCAACTCAAAAAGCTCCAGTTGCAGAAGCCATCGGGAGACAGTGTTTTTGCAAAGCTGTTAGCAAAGATCCTGTGTCCATTGTGCATACTCCGGTCTTGGGACATTTGAACAGTTGGAAAAGGAGTCAGGAGACACTGTCTCAGTAGCATGCTTGATCACCCAAACAGGCCACAAACCCGTCAGTGTGTTCAACAAAAGCCAAGACTAGCTGGAAGTGTCCTTAAGCGGTACAGCCCTAACCATCATGCAGGGGACCTAGGTTCCATCCCTAGTAGCAGGTTCAGGGAGCAGGGACAAACGAATGGAAACTTGCCTTTAGATGCTTTCCCCTGTAAGACTGACCTGAGCTCAGCAGACTGCTCCATTTCTTCACCGAGACTCAGTTGTAAATCAAGAAGAGGTGCTTAGTCCCTAGGCACTTAAGGAGCTGCCTAGTCATGCAGAAGGGTTTCTCCAGCAGGCAGGGAAAAAAAATCAAAGTTTAGCCAGCAAAGGGAAAGAAGAGAAAGGCAAACCTAGGAGTTATATAAATGCTGACTTGCATGGCACAGGTGTAAGAGAATTAGGGGCTTGCTAGTGCATACTGCTTGCTGGTCACCCAGATCTAGCAGGTGTCGGTGAGGTCTAGCAATCTGAATTTTTAAGTCTCTCAGGGATGCTGAGAGTGTGCCTCAGAGGGCATGGGGAGAAACTCTACTACTGAAGCTCACCTGTCTTCTTGGCCTTCCCTTAGCATCAGGGAAGAGAATCTGTTCTCTCTCTGTAGACTGGGCAGAGTGGTGAAGACCGGGGTTTAGATTCCAGTGCATTTCTGCACTCTGCACAAGCATTTAGACAACTCACTTGCCTTTCTTTATGTGTATCTGTAAAGCATCTGCCCTACCAAGGTAATCAGTCAGTGTGGAGAGCCTCATGCTGTGAGCACTCAAAAATGTTGGTCACCATTGTTATCACCTAGAATCTCCCTGGCCTCTGTGTCCTGGGCTCAGTGCCTTGTCACCTGTGGCCTTCATCCCCTTCCAGCCCAGGCCAGACTCTCAGGAGTTGTCATTCTGGAATGATGCCAATCCACCCCCAGTGCCATTGTCTGCCAGGCTTTTCAAATACTACCTGCCCAGCAAGACTTCTTTCAGTTAAGGCAGTGACCTCTGCCTTAACTTCTGATTCACAGATGATGTGGTGACCGAGGTGCAGGGGAAGTGCCCTTACCCTCTGGGGTGCCATCAGCCCAGCACTCCACAGGGAAACTCTACAGGACACATCACACAGGACAGAGATGCAATCTAACACAGCTGTGACCCATCACAAAAGATGGCAAGAGAGATGAGATGGTGGCATAGACTCCATCCCAGGATTTTCCAGTTTTGTAAGTTGTAGGAAATGGTATTGGGGTGACCTTTCAAAGCCCTTGGCCCTTACAACAGCAGCCTGGGAGATTTGTGGGTAAAATGGTACTAAAATACTTAAAGGGCTAAAGAGATGACTCTGAGGTTAAGGTACTTGTTCTTTTGCAGGGAACCCTAGTTTAGTTCAAGCACCCCCAAAGCAGCTAATAATCACCTGTAACTTCAGTTCCAGGGGATCCAATGCCCTCTTTTGGCTTTCTGGATATGCATGTGGTACACCTACATACATGTACATAAAAATCTCATACACATAAAATACACCTTTAAAATATACTTAATAAAAATGACAATTGATAATTCTTTTGTCAGGAAATCATGTATACCATGAGCCCCCACCCCAGCTGTGATGTGTCTATGCATGTATGTGTGCCTCTAAAAGTCATACATTGAAATCCTAGTCCCCAGGGCTAATAGAGGTGGGTCTTTAGGAGATGATGTGATTATGTCCTGATAAAGAGCCTCCAGTGAGATCCCTACCACCATGAGACAGCTTGAGAAGGTAGCACCTATAAACTAGAAATTGGGTTCTCGGTAGACATTCATCCTGCAGTTGCCTTGACCTGGAATGTGCTGGTGCTGAGAACTGTGGGCTATCAACTTCTGTTGTTGATAAGGTAACCAGTTTAAAGTATGTTCTTATACCAGACCTAATAAAGCAAGACACCAGTGCCTCATTCTAGTCTTCTCTGGGATGATTTTACAAATATTCATTAAACTATAAGATCTTACTGCTACCCCATAGCTATGGAATATACAACTGCATTCGGCCCCCAGTTAAATTACTGAATCTACTCTCTGTGTTTTTACATCTCCTTAGGTCTATCTGTACCAATGCAGTCTTTGGCACCACTCTTCCCTTATCTTTGCTAGTCAGAAACCTACTCCACAGGCATCTATCATTGCTTTAACAATGGCCCAAGACATGGTGATTTCAAACCACCAGATTCTTTATTCTTTATGTTTCATGGTCCTGTGGGTCAGGAGTCTGAGTTGGGCTCAACCAGGTGGTTCTCCTGTTCCGTCAGGTGCTGGTGGAGGTCTCTTACATTGCTGGGTGGCAGAGGGACTGAGGTGGACAGCTCCACTCAACTGTCCAGTGGCATGGTGGAGCTGGACTCACTGAGGTGCCCTCGTGAGGTTGGTGGCTTTAGGTTCCCAGAAGGAGCATTGCAAGGGAAGGTTCTCCAGAGGGCAAGAAAAGCAAGCTGCCACGATTGTAAATCTTAACCTGGAAAGCGGCACAAATCAATTCCATCGTGTTCTATTGGTCTAAGAACCATAGGACTGATGGTCTAGTGAAGGGTCAGGGAGCTCCTTTATCAATGGGAGGATACCAAAGAAGCCACGCCTCCTTTAACCTGCCATACCCACCAAGCTTCCAAGCTAAACTCAGGTTCTGGCTACCAAAGAGGCTCTCTCTCCCCTGCCCCTGTTCCTGCAAGCCTTCTGTGTCCCCATCCTTGCCTTGCTCTACCATAGATTTCTTTGTGTGTCTCATTCTCTTTTGTCCCTTGAAAACAGAGCTCCCACCGTGTTCCTCTTTTCAATCACTGTGCGGAGCCACAAAATGAATAGCTGAGGAGTAAGTGCATGCTATCTAAAAGTGCATCAGTTCAAGACTATTCAGGTATTGTATAAATGAGATCATTTGGTATGACCCCATTTTTTGTTTTATCCATTTGATACTAGGAAAGGATATGGGATATGCAATTACATCTCACTGTATCCAGGGACTTGCAGGACTTGGAGGAGTGGGGGGAGGGTAAGAGCTGGGATAAGAGCCCTGCCACAGGCCTGCCCTAGTAACAGCCAATCCTCCTAAGCCAATCCTCCAGCCATGTTGGTGTTAAACTTCCTGCTTAGTGATGTGACCTCAAAACCCTTTTCCTGTTGGTTAATTCAGTTTCCACGCTGGAATTTTTAATAACTTTTGCCATTTGAAATAACTGACTGAAGCCAAAGGTGGGGAGAGAGAGAGTTCACTTTAGTCTAAAAAAATATTGAAGCACACAAAGTCCTTATTGTAGAAGGCCAACAGGAGGGTTCTTTGACTGGCACTCATGAAGAGATGCCCAGGACCCCACAAGCAGGCTTATCCTTTTAATGTCTGTGTCCAGGACCCCACAGGCAGATATCCACTATGAGTGTCTGTACCTGGATCCGAGGACAGATATGATCTTAATGTTTAAACCTAGAACTCACCAACCAGTGTGGTCCCTTAGTGTTTGAGCCCAGGATCTAGCAGCACACACCGTTGAGTGTCTGTACCCAGGATCTCACTAGTGGACCAGGTCCCTTAATGAGTGTGAATGAAAATCCAGAGCCAGGAGACCTGGAGACAGCCTGTAAGCTCCAGAGAAATAGTACTCTTCTGTGCAAGGGTATTTTGTGAAATAAGTCTAGGCTGTGCTCTAGGCTCAGGCACCTGTGGAACATCTGTGAGGCAGAGGCACACAGGATGAGTGCAGGTGGGGAGAGGTAATTAAACAGGAGGAAGAAAAAAAGCAACAGAGACTATGGCAGTCTGGTTTTCATTACTATAATAAAATATCCAAAGCAGGCTGGCTTTGTAAAGAAAATAGATTGTCATGATATTTTGTTTATGATCTAATAAAGCTTGCCTGAAGATCAGAGTGCAAAGTTAGCCAGAGCCATAGAGGCCAGGCAGTGGTGGTACACACCTTAATCCCAGCACTCAGGAGACAAAGACAGATGGATCTCTGTGAGTTCCAGGCCACCCTGGGCTACATGGGAATGAATCAGTCTAAAAGAGAAACAGGGCTCACACCTTTAATCCCAGCACTAGGGAGGTGGAGACCAGAGTGATATAGCTTGGTGGAGAGAGGAATATAAGGCTGGAGGAGACAGCAGCTTACTGCAGTATAGGCAGTCTGAGGAGCAGTCCAGTTTGAAGATGAAATCAGAGGACACAATTGCCCCTTCTGTCTGAGCATTGGTAGAGGTGAAAACTCCCTAGTGGTTAGCTGCTTTGCTTCTCTAGTGTTCAGCTTTAACCCCAATATATATCCCTGGGTTTTTTATGATTAGTGCTACAATAGATTTATTAGCTTACAGTATTGGGGTCTGAAAGTCCAAACAGGTGCAGGCTATGCTGAGGTTAGCTCTCACCACATTGCCAAACAGGTCACATTGCCAAACAGGAAACCAAGGAAACAGGGTACTGCAATCCTTCC